TCAAGACCATGTTACTGCGGCCCACGCCAATGATTGTGTCTCTAGAATCAGGGTCATTCCCGTGTTGTCCGCTCTTGGCAACGCGACCAGGTGCCGCATCTAGGATCAACGTCCGTCATTGTCGCTAACAACAGCATATAAACAGTCACACACAGGAGGAGAGGTTCCACACGGGTTAACAAGTTCGGGAGCCTGAAGACTGTAAAGATGTGGACGCTCCTGTTCTTGGTTTTGGCCGTGGTCGCCTGTCCGGTCCAATCACAAGGTAAGATACGAAACTTCCCTGTACATACTTGTAAGAAAATTCAAACTCTACTACTGGATCAGTTACGGATTTTTTTATCTATTTCCGGACGTTTCGAGTGACATCCATCACTCTTCTTCAGCGTCACAAATGAACAGAGAACCGATTCACTCTTTTATACAAGTAACTAGAAAAACCGGTTAAACAACAAGGTCCGTAAGAATCTTTATCATCATTATCATGTAAGCCATGCTCCACATATATACATGTACCGTATTACCTTTTTGAAATAGTATAATGTTATTTTAGATACACAGAACATGTAGGTATTACTGTAGAAGTGAGAGTAGATGTTAGCTAGATATGTAGTACTGAAGACTTTGCCATGCATTGTACCCGTTACAATTGTTGTGCAATAAGGATTGACTATTGACTATGAAGGTGTAGCCAAACAGTTAAACTATGCACCAGAAACAGTTACGTACTTAAGCAACTGGATATGATTTTGGAAACGGTCAGACATTTCAGGTAGCATCCAATACCTTTCGTCAGGGACACTGGAGACTTGTTGGAATAGCAGGTCTTCCTGACAGCTCTCAAGTGTCACTGACGAAAGGTAGTAGCTTATAGATGCTACCTGAAACGTCTGACCGTTTCCAAAATCATTATATTATCAGGTTGCTTGATCATGACTTACTGTTTTTGGCGTATCCATGTGCTGCAGTGCAATGTGAACCAGTCAGAACTGCCCTGAGGAAGGTGACAGACAGTCACCAAAACGTCGACTGAATAAGAGACTTGGTTGTGTAAAAAGAGTCTCTTTACACAGTGACTTATCAACCTGATGAAACTATTTACGGATGTAACAGGCATGGTCCTTCTTTTTGCTCTTCAGGCGGAACATTCTTGGCTACGTATTTAGGCTACGACTACTTTTTTTTCATTTATTTCAACATGTAAATCACAAGACGTGGTGACGACACACTCAACTTTCTTCAACATATGTTAATGCCGCCACCAACACAGGGGACAAATACAACACAGGACAGTACTCATTTTCACCTGAGCGAAGTGAGGAAAGCCGTGTAAAGTGCCTTTCCCAAGGGCACAAGATCGGTGGCATGTCAGGACTCAAACCCGGGACTCTTAGTTCCGAGTCGCGCACTCTGCCGCTACGCCACACGACCCCACGTAACAGGTATGGTCCTTCTTTTCCTCTCTTCAGGCGGAACATTCTTGGCTACGTATTCGGGCTACGACTACTTCAAAGTGCCCATTTCTGGGCCCATGTCCAGCTCGAATGTCAAGTCAACCTGCGAACGAGCTGGTTACGTCACACCGTGTGTCGGGGACGGGAGCTGCTCCTTTTCGTCAGGCGACTGCGTCACGTCCGGTCTGACCAACTGCAACTTCCTGGGAATGGGTGAGGTGTCACAGGTAAGGTCCAGACTATGCATGATGTACAATATGATTAATAAACTATTAATAAAAATAAATTATTAGTTATTGCCATTTGTTTTATTTATTTACTTTGTGTGTCCGGGTCGGCCTGGGGAGTGGAGAGCAACGCCTACCAGTTCGGGATTAACTACTATAACCGCTACGCCATGTGCGCTCGGGGTGAGTACTTCATTAAAAAACTATTCTTCTTTTAACTTCCCAAAACCCACTAATTTTTAGAAAAGGTGGGATATTACGTCTTCCATGGTCTGAGAAAAAGAGAATGTTAAATGCTATTGTGATTTCACAGAGAGTTCCAGTATACCCAGGCACACACTGACAGGTGATGCTGTTCACTCCGTCCTGGCATACTGCTCCGTTCTGACAGGGGGCGCTTCTGCACTCGTCTATTTCTGTTAGGGTAAAATCAAACTTCTACTTAACAAGTCCAATCGATAATCGTGAAGAAAAACATATATGCTAAACGATCTGGCCCTGTTTGCATACAAAAGCACAAATTAAGTTATTGTAATATGAAATATAATAGCTGAAAACCTACCTATTTCACAGAGACTTCCGGTATACCCAGGCACACACTGACAGGTGAAGCTGTTAAACTCATCATGGCATACTGCTCAATTTTGACAGGGGGCGCTGTTGCACTCGTTTACTTCTGTAAGAGTATAATTTAAGTTAAATGTGACATGTCGTTCACATCGATAATCGTTAAAAATATGCTAATGCATAATTTGTATACCTGTTAGTATACAAAAACAGGAATTAAGTTACAATTGTAATAACAAATATCATAGCCCCAAAACCTACCCATTTCACAGAGAGTTCCAGTGTACCCAGGCACACACTGACAGGTGAAGCTGTTAAACTCATCATAGCATACTGCTCCATTCTGACAGGGGGCGCTTCTGCACTCGTTCACCTCAACTAAAACAATGAAAATCAAACAGCTGCATAATCACGAATCTTTGATTGCTTAGTGAATAATGGTTACATTATCATTATGTTATCATTACTACTACTACTACTATCCCATGTCTATCTTGACAGGAGCCATGTCTATCTATTATATACAGGAGCAGTATAAGTTCGGAAATCCTTGGACTAAGACCAAACCACCGTATTATCATAAATGTTGACAAAATTTGGATAAAAAGAAATCTTGTTACCCGCAGAAACATAACTTACTCTTCCTGTCCCATGCACCAAACATGGGGCGTAACGTTTTATTTCTTTAAGTCCCTTTTTTGTTTCTAAGAGACCGATTGGAGTATCAAAACTCGTGATCTTTAATAGAAGTTTATTGCAAATTCGTGCCCTGGGGGCTAATTGCAAATTACAAACATAAAAGTACAATGAAACGTAGAATAAAATAACTAAGATCTACACGATAAAAGGTAGTTGTCTAAAGATATAGCTATGACTAAAACTATGTCTAAGGGGTTTGACTTCTCTTCTGTAAACAATGGAAGACGTAATGTCCCACCTTTTTCAAAATTTGTGGGTTTTGGGGAGGTAAAACAAGAATAGCTTTTTCTTGTATGGCAAAGAGCAGAGTTCTAAGGTCGCCTGAGGTTAATGATTGTCCCCTGGGTCACTATACAGGTAAATACGAACTATTTCCTCTGTGTCACTGAACAGGTCACACGAACTATTTCCGCTGGGTCACTGTACAGGTCACACGAACTATTTCCTCTGTGTCACTGTACAGGTCACACGAACTATTTCCGCTGGGTCACTGTACAGGTCACACGAACTATTTCCACTGGGTCATTGTACAAGTCACATGAACTATTTCCACTGGGTCACTGTACAGGTCACACGAACTATTTCAGCCTCTGTGTCACTGTACAGGTCACACGAACTATTTCCGCTGGGTCACTGTACAGGTCACACGAACTATTTCCGCTGGGTCACTATACAGGCCACACGAACTACTTTTCTTGGTCACACGAACACTTCCTACCTTTTTACACAAACCATGCCAAGGCACTGTGTACCTGACCACGCAAACATGTCTGGCGGGTTTGCAATAAGTCGTCTGGCATTTAGAACATGGGAGTTCGTGCGAGAACAATTTGAGACTATACTAGGACATTTAATCAAAGATTCCGTGGTTACGTCATTCAACCAAGACCAAGGGACCTAATAAAAAATGTTCTCCTTGTTACTATGACAAATAATTTGTTATTATCTCAACATCCTTTGGGCCTCCAATAGTAGCATTCACAGTCTAACTATTTGAAAAGCGGTCATATGCATGTACCGAACATGTACTACTACTACTACTAGTACTTCTACTACTGCTACATTTTTAGTTGAGTTAATTCTGCGATGTCTACGGCGGCAAAAATCTCGAGTAAGCCGTGGGCTGAACACCTCCGCTTGGAGAATAAAGAAAGGCTTTGGCTTGACTTGACATTCCTTCTTGCCCGACGTGCCTAATGCTACAGTCCGTAGCCCGGGGTAGTCTGTGATGACAAAGTTTGGAGTGTTTGCGGACAAGCCGACGTTGTCAAGGATATTCACTCACCTCCTCCATCGGCGGCCAACGACAGTCAAAGTCCTACATATGTTAGCGTCCAAAGTACTCTCCAAGCAGAGGTTGGGGGAGAGATCGTTACATTTCTTTATATGCCCCATTTTTCCACCTACGTTGGTGTGGGAAGGGACAGACTGGCATATATAAACTGTATTTATCTTCTCCGCCACTGTTCTGTACATGTCACCGTATACAGGGGTCATTCCCTGATCGTGTACCCCACAGAACACGCTTCACACTATGTTAACGTCTCAACTATCTTAAGAAACAAGTCTATGATTGAGTGATTGAAAAACGCGACGATATTATCCCTTGTATGATATGTTGGGCTTCTGTGCCATATGTTTGGCCCTTACTACGTCAGCAAAACACTTTCCACAAACATTGCTCATCAGTATCTGTTATGCCTCGCATCGAAACAAGCAATATAAACGATGGTGAAGGTTTATTGCCTATGGCACGAAAAAATTGGCTACGTCTCTGGTCAGCAGCAAAACACCTCACTCTCCGCAACATTGCCTATAACCTGGAATGCCTCGTGCAAAGCAACTAATCCTTAAGTTGCGATGTTTTTAGAGTTTGCGGCAGCTGCCCGTGTTGTCAAGGATGTGTTACTGCGGCCTGCAACAAACAGCGGTCTGTTGGCTAGGGTGAGGTAGGTGATTGGTTCTCTGGGTTTAGCGTTCATTCTTGTCGCTAACAACAGCATATAAGCACGCACACACCGTAGAGGCCCCGCACAAGTTAAGGGATCTCAACCGAATGTCTCAGATGGTAAAGATGTGGACGCTCCTGTTCTTGACTTTGGCTCTGGTCGCCTGTCCGGTCCAGTCACAAGGTAAGGAAACTACAACTTGATTTAATGATATAAACTATGAAGGCACAAAAACAATAGCATTATTACAGCCGTTGTTACATTGATTCCCATGCAATTCTTCTAGATACTGCAGTTATAATGGTGTTCCTTCTGTTCTTATTTATATATAAATTTTTGATGAATGCATGGTTTGGCTTAACCTCCACATGGACAGCTATGTGCAGATGTATTTCTAGCGTTTTATTTATTTATTTACTTTATCTATAATTTATCTCACTTTTTTATGAAGTTAATAATTATTATAGTCCATACCACTTTAAATTACGAAAGAGCAAAAATATTGTGATTGGTGAATGTACATAATCTCATAATTTTCTAGTATGTAGAATTGGGAAGAATGCCATGTGCACTGTATATTATATATGGAAACTTGTGGCTAGCAACGGACGTAACTCGCACGGTTGCGCAGGGTGTAAGTATGTGGTCTGCAAGTATGCGTTTGCGTGCATCGTTCGTTGCGCAAGTGGTGAGTTGTACGTGCTTACAACGTACGATCTCTGTGCGATTGCAAGTTTATGGAGGCCGTACTTACATGTGATGCTTATGTACGGTACGTACGGTACTTACAGCGTACGCGCGTCGTCCGCAATGGAACGTACTGGGCGGGGGTGAATCCGCAGACCGCAGAAAAAAATTTTACTTGCACTTAAAGTTCTACGGCGTGTCTGCGTGCTTCCAAATCCGTTGGATTCCGTACGGCCGCGGTACTCACCACTTATTTATACGGACCCCCAAAATCTGTGTGGCGTAGCGGTAGAGTGCTCGACTACGATGTCCTAGATGTCTCGGGTTCGAGTCCTGACATGCCACCGATCTTGTGCCCTTGGGAAATGCACTTTACACGACTTTCCTCACTTAACTCAAGTGAAAACGAGTATTGTCCTGTCCTGTATATGTACTCTGTGTTGGTGGCAGTATAAAATAAAGTGATATCTGTAGTTGTTCATACAGAATCCTGTATCTGTATAGCCGTTATAACCTCCTGTCGGCGTAACACACCAGCTTCGCAGGCACGCGGCGCGGCGGCAGCTGGCTATATTACACTGATCGACTTGTTACACCTAACCCTTGAACTTCTAGCTCTAGACATTGTTTAAAGCTAGCTATTGACAATGCCCCTACTGTACTTGGTGGCAGTGAGTTCCACTCTGCGATACTTCTAGGAAAGAATGAATTCTTGAACACCTCAATCCTTGGTTGATAACTCTGGTACTTGAAGGCATGGCTATTTCTTGTTCTCTTCTGGGCTGGTATTAGGTACTTAGTAGTTGGGACATCCACCAGTTTATTAGTCATTTTGTACATCATGCATAGTCTGGACATATTTCTTCTGTCTTCCAGTGAGGCCCAATGTAGGTTTCTTTCCATTTCCATGACACTAGCACCTCTTTCATAGTTATATAACTTGAGTGTGCCGTCGTCATGTTTGGTCATTATATGCTGGAATAAAAAGACAGCACGTAATTGCGCGTACGGCGTGTTGTGACCCTCGCTTTTGACACCGTACTTCTTCTGAAGCACATACTACTTAAACATCCTTGATAATATATTCCTGTGTTTCAATAGTGAATTCTAGATACTGACCATAGCTTTAACCTTAACTATCATTTCTCTAATCGTACGATTCCTTTTCATCAGCCGGAACGTACTTGACAACATACCTAGGCTACGACTACTTCAAAGTTCCCGCCACTGGGCAGATGAGCAGCGCGAATGTCAAGGTTACTTGTGAACGAGCTGGTTACGTCACACCGTGTTCCGGGGACAGGAACTGCCACTTTTCGTCAGACGACTGTGTCCAGACCGGGCTTACTCGATGCAGCAGTTACCCAATGAACGAAGTATCCCAAGTTCTGTGCGGTAGGTATCCCCTTCAGTGTCCCGCGTTTGACGGAGTGTACATCTTCATGGCCAACTGGCGGTCTGGCTCTGCCTGTGGTGTGGAGAATGGCGACATGTGCATGACCGGGAATAACTACAATAACCGCTTCGCCTTCTGCGCCCGAGGTGAGTACTTCACTACTTAATTACTAGTATAAAAGTACGATGGTGAGCGGAGCGATATACAGTCAGGTATACAATATGTAAATATACAGATCAATAATACTGTTATCGCAGGACATCCAGACTATTGATCACATTAATCTCTCATCATCCCTTTAGTCGGACCGTCGCACCAGAAATACTCTCTCGACCACCGGTCTTTATTATCCTACCGATTATTATCACACATTAAGAACATATATCAAACAGTACAGGTTCACACTGCTACAATGTTATGATGTAAAAATTTAAAAACTAAAAAAAAAAAAATCAAGTGAATAGTAAGCTCTCCTACTGACCGGATTTTTTTTCAAATGAAAAAAAAAAGAAAACATCTCTTTTGATTTAGCATGAAATACAATCTGTGTTGGTACAAGTCATTATGAATTCATTGTAGTATTGTCTGTTAAAGTTTATTCTTTATTTCATAATCTCTTTTAATTGTGTACAAAGAACTACAACTCTTATAGCATATATTCTATAACAAACCATTTCAGATGTGCACGTGTGCAGCAGCGCCCCCTGTCAAAATGGGGCCACATGTCAGGACGGAGCGAACAGCCTTACTTGTCGGTGTGCACCTGGATATACTGGACTTCACTGTGAAACAAGTAGGCATTCAGCATTTATGTGCATGTGATAAACCTTGTGGATTTGAATTATTTTGAATTTCATGAATTATTCTTATATGGTCAAGGGAATAACTTTTCTATCGTCACAAACACATCATGGTATTCTAAAGTAGAATCCTGCTATAAGAAAGTATACTCTTGTTGCATTCCAAAACGTGTTATTCCGAATCATGATTTGGAATGGACCACGTTTTGGAATGCAACAGGCATTCCACATGCTGTATTCCAAATCATATGGCGCAGCTGGATCACGATTTGGAATGTTCTAAAACGTGACCGGCCATGCTGTGACAGGAGTGGTGATTAATTATTCATTCCGAAGTTTCCATATTTGGTCCGTTGGCTGCCTGTATACAGATACTGTGTTAAATCACGTCGTGTTTACTTGTCTGAACATGTCGTCGAACTTAGCGTTCCAAAGGTATTAGTACGTTTGAGCTGTATGGGGAGAATGACGTCAATGAACAGTACGATAATGTTCTTGGTATGATGTTCCATAGTCTGGTTCTGGTCTGAGTTTATCTTCATCAGTGTGCGGTCCTAAATGGTCGGACGCTCGCGCATCCGTTTCTCATCATTTTCCAGCTAATAGAATCACGTGATAGTTGTTTATACACAGAAGAGAGAACGTAATTTATAGAAAGGAGCTTTCATTTATAGTTAAAACTTTTGATATTTAAGTGAAGTTTGTAAATATTTAGCATTACTTTGTGTCATTAAATTACGCAAATAAGCCTAATTTTGTAAGAATGTGGTCTCCACGGCCCATATGGGATATCTAGCCACGATATGGAATATTCCGAAACGTGCTCCAGACATGTTTTGGAATATTCCATTTCATGTCCTTTCTCTAGGCACGTTATGGAATATTCCGAAACATGTTTCAGACACGAAATGGAATATTCCAAAACGTGCTTCAGACATGTGGGCTTGGGAAAGGGCTTCGACCACAACAGTCACTGTGTGGAGTTGTTGAGTTTGAACATTTGTTGATGAATTTTTAGATTGTGAAAGGGATGGCCGCCACAGTTGCGTGTGAGCCATGCTTCGGTTACCGCCAGTGCACGGCCGAAGCATAGTTGTGTGCGGTGTCCGACGGGCATGCCGTGACTAACACCGAGGAGGTTTAGAAGGTCAAAATATAGAGGCCGACAGCATGGGCAAAAGCTACCAATTCGAAACTTTGGGAAATATTTGACGTTAATCATGATTTAGATAGTTGACACAGGTATTCTAAAACGCGCGTGTGACATTTTGAGACTCCCATTTCATCATTAAAGTTTACACGTCTGACAGCCTGTAGCTATAATGGAACGCTGAGCGTTACAAAACATGCCCAGACACGTATCATTTAGCCACGCCCTCAGAAGTTCGAAGCTCCGCCCCCTAAGTACGAGGCTCCGCCCCCAGACACGTGATTACGGAAAGTCATGCTTTGGAATGCATCACGTTTTGGAATGCAACAGGCATTCCACTTCGTGTTATTCCAAATCATGTTTTGGAATGGACCACGTTTTGGAATGCAGGTGCATTCTATTCCAAATCATGATTTGGAATGGACCACGTTTTGGAATGCAACAACTCTTACAGATATTGACGAGTGCAGCAGCGACCCCTGTCAGAATGGAGCAGTATGCCAGGACGGAGTGAACAGCTTCACCTGTCAGTGTGTGCCTGGGTATACCGGAACTCTCTGTGAAACGGGTAGGCATTTAGTTCTTTTTAATAATAAATAAAACTATATACAGTAAACGGTGAATCCCAAGAACCATATCTGAAACATGCGCATTATACCTTATAAATTTACTTTTGATGCGGGGTTTCAGACATCAATGAGTGCAGCAGCGACCCCTGTCAGAATGGAGCAGTATGTCAGGACGGAGTGAACAGCTTCACCTGTCAGTGTGTGCCTGGGTATACCGGAACTCTCTGTGAAACAGGTAAGTTTGGAAAATTATATAGATCATAAAAGATTAATATTAGATGTGACTGTCATGTTAATCATAGTACATACAGCGCAAATGCATAAAAATGAACCCTACATTATGATCATTCGTCGTGGTATTCTATATCACACTTTAATTGGACAACATTCTAACACCTTAAAATGCTTACCGACTCTATTCCACAGATATTGACGAGTGTGCGAGCAGTCCGTGTTTAGGAGGCGGAACTTGTGTGGATCACGTGAACGGCTACAGCTGTGTCTGTCCTAAAGGTCGCTTGGGAGACAAGTGTGAAACGGGTGAGTTTAGCCATTCATATTAATTCAAAGATTCGTTTGGACTAGTGAGATAAAGTAGATTTGCGGTTGAGGCTAGCAAACAATATTTCGATCACTGTGACTATTATCATGAGTCGTCCCATGACAAGCAACTTATCGTTGACTTGTTGAAAGATATCGTTGACTTTTAATTTGACCACTATTTTTGAAGCAACCGGTACAATTTTTTTCAGAAACAATAATTTTGATAGTGTTCAAAGGTAGGAAGTCCTACTGTCAATACGTTAAAATTGATGAGCTGAGGTGAGATTGGAGTGAGCCTAAGAAATACGACAATAAAGATTGATAAAAATGACAATGATTCAACGTTTCCCCAGTTCCATACGTTGACGGCTGCCTGCTGTTCTCCTCCGACGCCGTGTCCTATCCTAAAGCGAGCCAGGAGTGCCAGACCAGGGGGGGGCACCTGGTGGATGTGAAGGAGGCCGAGCTGCAGCGGCTCATCGCTGATTCCATCCCTACCGGAAGTGACGTGTCCCCGTGGATCGGACTCAAGCTGTCGCCTGGAGTGATGACATATGCTGACGGGACCAGCGTTTCCGGTACTTCCTATATACCATTTTTTTTCTATCAATGAATCCAAAGCTGGGCAACTTAACGACATGCTCACGAATTTTAACTTTTTTTTTTAAATTCTGCATTGGCCACTGCCGATAAAAAAAATCAGCACACACGAAACTGTCCCAAGGGTAGAAATTTAATAAATAATTGTACACTTATGGGTAGAATTCTTAGGCACTTGACTACTGGCACTCCCTTCCCAAAGGACAGACAGCACTTACGCTCCTGTTCCGAAATAACAGGAGCTTGATTTGTATCATCCTTGTCTTGACTTATCTACCTATTGTTTCCTTTATCTTCACGTATTTTCATATCAACCAACAGTTCGTGCTTCTAAACCTGACAGTCTCCTGCAAGTCTCCACTGTCACCGACAAAAGGTAGTGGATGCTACCTGAAACGTCTGACCGTTTCCAAAATCATATGCAGTTGGTTAAGTAACTGTTGTTTGGCGTACTTTATTAGCAGGATGTCCAACCTTCACGACGTAAACTGTACACTTATTTAATTTAGTTCTGTCACTGCATGAACTTGAATTTGTACACATTAGGCCAGCTACAATGGTCTGCCAGTGAACCCACCACCTCCTGTGAGCTGTGTGCTTACCTGGACAGCACGGACAACCATCGTGCAAAAACCGACTCGTGCACTGAGAGGCACAACTACGTCTGCAAGTCTGGTAAGTTTTCTGTCTCTACTCCTTTGTCTCATACACACACAAAAAATACTGTCCCATGCATGTAAAGACTGCAGACTTTCAAAATCCTAAGATATTAAACTGATGAATGTATCTTCCCAAAAGACTCGATAAATCTGTGTTACAGTCTTACGGTTCATTGCCTTCAAACCGTATACTGTTGTGAGGGGAGGCATACATCACGTTTTTCTTTAAATATCAAAGCCCATGTGCCATATCATTACTCGTAGGGCAAATGGTATTTCTTAATCAAATTTTATCCCAACACAATGCCTAACTTACTGAAACTTATAGTTGGAAATCTTTTTTTTTTCATTCCTCTTCAGATCCCAAGCCCTGCCAGCGGAACATCTGCTACAACAACGGCGTCTGCTCGACCTGCTTTAACGACTCCTACAGCGTCTGTTCCTGTCCTGATGGATATCAAGGAGACCTCTGCAACATAGGTATATAATTGTTCTGTATGTATTTCGTATAAAGGCCACAACCGTGGATTTAACCGTGGATTGAAGTACATGTTTTGTTTTATGTTATGAAATATTGACGAATATATATTGACTGTTATTGATATCATACATCATCAACTACACAATCATCAAATGTATCGAATCGTAACAATCTCATATTGTTATGGACGTAATACAACTAGCGGTTGCTAAAACTACTGAGTGACTTTTTTGTTGAGATGTGTAGGGAAGATACACAAAATGACACATTGCTCCATGTTTGATCCAATAGATATTGATGAGTGCTCCTCGAATCCTTGTCAAAATGGCGGAACATGCAACAACGGCGTCAACTCCTACGTTTGCCACTGCACGATCGGATATGGAGGGACCAACTGCCAAACAGGTATCTCTGGTAGAACCTGTTGAAAGTTATGGGCATTTATTGGCATTCAAATTATTCACTCAGCATTTGTAACCTATATGCTAACTGATAGAGCAGACGCATAAAGATTAGGGCAACCATATATCAATACATACCTTAAAAAGAACCTATCCAAGTATCTTGACCCATTAATAATAAAATCTCCATTAATGTTCATAGCAATGCTTTGTCAATGGTATTTTAGGCTTAAATCCCGCAGTGCCACGACTACCTAGCCTTAGTGCTAGCACGTTGTACTAACATACCGTGATCCTTCATTTGTCCCCAGATCTGGACCTGTGCGCCCAGGTCGCCTGTCCGTTCAACTGGCAGTGTCAGGACCAAGGGAACCACTTCATCTGTCTGGGTAAGGGTAAAGCTGGCGCTTCGTATAAACTATAGTTACTTTCCAAACACAAATATGCACAATATAGACACTTTCTTGTAATTTGTAAGTCTAAACTTATTAGCTTTGACAGTAACACTATATAATGATATATCTTTTTGTAGCTGGAACGATCAGACTGGCAAAGCCCTACTCGTGCAGCAGCGCCTCCTGTCCGGACGGCATGTACTGCAGGGAGGAGGGGCCGGCATCTTTCTCGTGCAGAGCCGGGTGACGTCATGATGAGTCTAACCTGCAACAAGACGGACCGGAAACGGAACACGGAAAAAAACCTGCTGACAAAAACACAAATTGAGCTTAAACAAACCCCTAATTCTTCTTATTCAACCTTTTGCTGACTGTAAGCATATATTAGTGGCTTTAGACAAGACAACATCTATTTTTGGTTTGCTTTGGTTTGGTTTGCTTTGGTTTTTATAGATCTTCATTAGTTAATACATTTTCCACTATTCTCCCTGGAGTCCAATTAAAACATACAAAATATAACAACGGAATATGAGAAAGTAAATTGAATACAACAGAATTAACAGAAGACTGACATAACTAACAGAACTAACAGAACTACCATAAACTGAACTTAAAATCACATTAGCAATCAAATCAATATAAATCAACTGTACAATAGGTCATCCAATCAAATATCCGATTAACAGATATTAATAACTAAAAAAACGGGGTCAGAGGATAGAACAAACTAATATAAAATGGAAGTCAAAACAATATATACTGTACGTAATGAATTTGATTACATATGAACCAAAATAGCAGATAATGCCTTACATGTGTGACAAAGCGTGCGTGCGTAACACAGCTTTCCAGCAGTTTAATTCTTTGTAAGTGAGATACCAACATTTATAGATACCAAGCAAGTTCTTTGCAACGATATATGCATAATATGTAACGAAATGAATGGGATCATCAGTGTGTTCCTTAGAAAGACTAAATTTTACGAAAACACATCAAATAAAAATAAAATTAATAGAAAATCTACTAATCTACTACTAAATCTAATAAATCTACTACTAAAATATACCAATCTTTAAAATGCTGGTTATGGAAACCTTTTAGTTTAGCCTGGCTTCTTCAACACTTTTCTCGCAAATACAGACTCAAATAAATGACTATAATCGAGAATTGGATCGTGTCTTCAATCTTTTTTGACATCACATATATATTCTGCCCTTTTTGTAAATTTTATTTCCATATCGCTAGAAGTATCAACATATTATAGGTCAATAACCACTTAATTGAATGATAGTTGTAGATGGTATTATATACGATACTGTAGACTATCATGAAAGTCCATCTGTGTTGATAGTAATCATTATGATAGTAAAACGATGAACTCCAACACACAATTCTACAGGGATCAAATTTTCCGCGACCACTGTCGCCTTCATTAGGATAATTAATGATCAACTGCTCACGTCACGTATCAGTAAAGTCTCGTTTGAATGAGGTCTCGTGTTTGTAACCGTAACTCTCGCGAGATCACGTTGTGTTACCTGGTGCATATAGTGCACTAAAGGTGTTACATGGTTCACCGTGCACTGTTACTTGGTTCACAGTGCACTTGTATTACTAAGCTAGTTTTTACTGTTAACATTGCATTTCCGAACGTAATGCAATTGTGGCATACATACATAGGCATTGTTGCATCATAGGGACATGCACTGTGAACCATGTAACACCTTTAGTGCACTATGCACCAAGTAACATCTAGCGTCAGTGTACAGTAAACCAGTCAGAATTGCCCTGATGAAGATGACAGACGGTCATCGAAACGTCGGCTAGTGAAAAATAAATGGTTGTGATCAAAGAACTTTGCTAGTCATTCGTTTACCAACCTGATGAAATTATTTACGGAAATAACCGTCTTGCTTTTACCTGCAATTCTTCGGATTCAATACACTTCTTATCACCTTGTCAAAACGACAGAATGTGCTTCAACAGGTTCAGAAATAAGTGACGACAAAAGATCGACAACAATCTCTGCTTCTTGATTATATTCATTTATTTGAGTCTGCATTTGCGAAGAAAGGGTTAAAGAAGTCAAGCTGCCAAGAAGATAAGTTATTTAGCTGTTGTTGATTCCTAAGATAAATTATTTCGTTATCATGAAGACCGTTCTGCAATGTTATACCACTTTAGGCCACACCTTTGATTTGTTGTTTCTCGGATTTTTTCAGAAAAAAAAAAGAAGCGACAGGGCGAAAAAAAAAAAACAGACAAAATCAACCCATGATAGCCGGACATGTTACAATATGATCCATGAAGTGAACATACCAGGCTGGTTTATAATTAAAACAATTGATTTTGAACTTTTAATGAAACAAAACTGCATTCTTACATAGAAAAACTTTAAGAACTGGGAAGAGAAGGACTTTCGTCAACTGTTGGGTCCGAAATATGTCTTTCATTAAGCATTTTGTGGTTAATTTAACCAATTTTTTTTGCAAATCAGAAAAAAATGGACAAGGCGATCCGAAAAGCAACAAGTTAAATTGGTGTGGCCTTATCATACTATCAAAGCATCACCCAAAGGTCTGTTGTATACGTAGAGTTTCGTTGGGCACTCTTCGAACTCTTGGACCCTTGTCTACTCTCCAAGCAGAGTTTTGGGTTTTGTGGGCATTTTTAGCGTGTTTTTAGGCTTTTTTATCGGGTTTTCTTTCACCCAACCCAGTTAGGTGAACAAAAATTCTAGTGCAAAAAAAAAGCCTAAAAACACACGAAAAACCCAAAACCCGAGCCTCTGCTTGGAGAGTAAGCCCTTGTCATCTTTCCAGACGGTGTACAGTTGTTAAAGAAAGTATGATGTTACATTATGTATATGTCGTTGCAATGAAAGTATTTAAATTTTAAATCTCGTTGCCATCTCACTTACATAGCATTAAATTTAGAATGCTGGAAACTATCGTAGTGCACACACGAAGTCTCACAGATAGTCACACTGGTGTGTTACGCATCTTGCCTCTTCTTAACCCACTAGCATGCCTACAGCAAAAGGTTGAATAAGAAGAATTAGGGGTTTGCTTTAGCTCAATTTGTGTTTTTGTCAGCAGGTTTTTGTCCGTGTTCCGTTTCCGGTCCGTCTTGTTGCAGGTTAGACTCGTCATGACGTCACCCGGCTCTGCACGAGAAAGATGCCGGCCCCTCCTCCCTGCAGTACATGCCGTCCGGACAGGAGGCGCTGCTGCACGAGTAGGGCTCCAGCAGCTTGAAGCTCCTGGCTAAAAACAATTTGAATATATGATATAAGATGCATATCGATAAGGAAATTGTTCACTTTTATCAAAATTTCGTAATATTTCAATAATATAATTACTAATAGATAAGTTATTTTTGACTGCCATATTAGTTGACAGTGTTGTAGTCTACATGATATAACCTTCAAAACATGCAATTGAGGCCGACATTCCTGTCTACATTCTAAAATAGAAATTCAATTTTGTGTAAAAAGCATGCATTGCTATCCCTGGAAATAATCTGAATCTTGTGTCTGTACGATAATGTCTGACATGAACATTTGTAACCGATTATTGTCTTTCTCGGATTATGAGTTTCTGAAGATTGAAGTTGAATCTCTTACCCAGACAGATGAAATGGTCTCCGTGGTCCTGACACTGCCAGTTGAACGGACAGGCCACCTGGGCACACAGGTCCAGATCTGGGGACAAAGGAATGGATAAAACAAGTTATCAACCTGTCTACATTTAAAGGTTTTGATCCAACACATTGATTTTTTTCTCATCTGTAGATCTTTCGACCAGTCACTCTTGTCTTCCTCAGTAGACTGACCCAGTGAAGCTTGTCACGTGGCTTCTTTGGCCTCACCGCTTCAGTCTACTGAGGAAGACCAGAGTCACTGGTCGAAAGCTCTGGGTGAGAGAACTTTATTGTGTTGGATCAAAGTTGTAACTTAAAACATGATATATACTACCAACACAGATGGACTTTCAGTATGAAATTTATAAACTTGATAATATCTGTTTATTGATATATTGATGTCTATCAATGGGCTAAAGAGTATCTCAATAAACACAATTAACTACATTTTTTCTGTCCATACAGCTGCAACAATCATCCTAATTATTCCCATAGCTAATCAGTGGATGACGAAATACAAGTTAACGAAAATCTAATACCTCTAAAGTTTGGATAGCTGCTTCATGAACTATGTACATGCGTTTCAAATTGAGCTGGACATGTTAGGTTTTTGGACATTGGTGATTGGTCATTAATTATCCTGATGAAGGCGACAGTGGTCGTTAAAATTGATCTTTGTGTAACCCCTGTGTTAGAAGTTCAACATTTTCCTATGATTACCACCAACACAGATGAACTTTTAGGATGATGTTAGGTTTTTGCCCACCCATTTCACAGTGGTCTCCGAAGTATCCAGCAGGGCAGCTGCACGTGTAAGAGTTGACGCCATCGGAGCAAACTCCGCCGTTTTGACAAGGATTGGAGGAGCATTCGTCAATATCTGGGGAAAAATAACATTTTCTATTTTGTTGTCTCAAAATTAAAAAAAAAGTTTTGACCGTCCTCGTCATGCTAAAACATCTGTGTACAATTCTACAATTTATTAAAGTCTACCTGATACACGATTTAACTGGCTATTGGAAATAAATCTATGGTATTTACTTCGTAATTAATTTTATGTCACATCATTTACCAAGGCAAAATGTGCTGCATCTCCAGCTTTAGAACAACAAAAACCATATTAGACTAAATCACATTTAGTAGAAATTCTTCGATCAGTGACTGTATTTTTGTAAGGTAAATCACGTACCTCTAAATTTTCGGTGTCGACTGTACACCTTGATCACGGAGTGACCTAGTCTCGCGAGAACACGAGACCAGGTCGAGACTTGTGTGGATCTTCTGACCTCCCCGCCTCCTTGCGGAGTAGGGTAGGTAGGACTTGGGCAGCTCCCAACCTTC